ATTTTATTTGCGTCGAATAAATTTTCAACGTTGCTACCATATAGAACCGCTCTACCGCCCGATTAAAATGCCACAAAACAATAAGTCTTTGATTAAAAACAATCCATTAGAAAGTCCGGATTCAGATAAAGATCAGCAACCTGAGTTAGTATTTCTGACAGTAGAACAACTAAACCATAAAACACTGATGATTTCTAACTAACTATTAATTAGGAAACAACAGCCCACAAATCCAAAAGAATGGCCCGTAAGTCTAAAGTATGTTCTCCCTTCATACTAGCCTTTTAATGCAACAAGGAAGTTTTCATTTTATTTATTATGTCAGCAAATGATTTATGCTCTTATTTGTTAATAGGGAATATGTGCAGCGAAGTTTCAACGAGGCACCACATAATATCGATGCCATAGAAAGAGAACTGAAAATAATAATTTCTAATAAAATGTCAGAGGGTTTGTTATATGAGACAGATTGGACAAAAGTTGATTTACCACAGAGTTGCAAGTCACCAAGGTTTTATTCATATTGAATGCGTCTTCAAACTGAAAATATTAAAGAATTTGTTATATTCATTGCATTGTTTTTTCTATTTCTATGTAAACCAGGGAAAATGAAAAGCGAAAAAAGTAGGTTAATGCGAATAAGTTTTGTTAATAGTGGGAAAAAAATTGAAATAATACTTTTTATTATACATATGGAATTTAATTACATTTCCGTATAGTGCATTCGCTGGTCATTCTCCACCTGACCGTCATTCAGCTGATAGCGATGAGTGCAGTGAATCCCAAAAGAGGGAAAAGCGTGCAAAGCGCTTCCAGGAACATGAAAGAATTAATAGACCGCGTTGGGAGCCTCCCGTTAAGGTGTGCATTTATTCAGTTGTTTGGCTTAACTTATGAACGGAATTAATTTAACTAATCATAATCATTTTAAGCAACAAGATGACATAGATGTAGAAAAAACAGTTGTGGTTGGGACCTGTACTCAATTGGAAAAGTCATATTTACGTTTGACAGCCGTGTGTATACAAGTGCAAATATCTTTATGCTATCAGTTTGTTTCAAATTTTATTAACCTTACCTTATCAATACTAATTTTGTTCAAGGCACCTGATCCTTCAACAGTTAGACCTTTACGCATATTAAAGCGAACTCTTGAATTTTTAAAAGCAAAATGGGTTGAAGATCAAAATTA